GCGGGGGACAGCAGGCCCAGCTGCAGCTCTCATATGACAGTGACTTCTCTACCCACTGCCAAAGGGATGGACGTGGTGACCTGCCTCTCTGTGCTGGCCACAATAGGGAACCCACAGTGCTGCCAGGAGCTACCCACCTGAGCTGGCAGGGCTTAGCTGGAGGGTGTGGGTGAGTTGAGGAGAAGTTGAGGTCAGAGGTTAAGAGCAGATCCCAAGGCTCCTGATTTCCAGGAACTGCCCTTCGGGGGATGAGAGGCAAATTGCTTGGATAATCCCAGGAGGAGAAAGGAGCATCAGACCCAAAGGACCTTGAGTCCCCAGATCCTCAAAAGGAGCCTGGTCCACGGGAGCCCCTGCATTATCCACCAGGCGTTGCTGGAGGCTGCAGGCAGGGGGATGCATGGGAGCCTAGTCGCTCAGCAAATCTAGGTCCCAGCAGAATCTGGCTTCTGGAAAAAGGAAGAGGTTTAGAGGATGCGGCAGGAGTGAGGGGGTGGGTACAGCAGCCCCCACGGCCTCCTGTGTCCACACTGCTGCTCCTTCCTCCCCAGCTGCTGCCAGCGCAAACAATGTGTCCATTGTTCTGTGTCTCCAGGGGCCTGTGTGCAACTGTGTGTGTCTGTTTCTCTGTGTGTGTGACTGTGTATTGCTCTGTATCTGTCCGTGTGTGAGAGACTTTGTGACTCTGCATGTGTGTGTGTGACCAGGTGTGTACAGCTGTGGTTGTGTGAGTCTGCATCCTTGTGTGACTGTGTGTATTTAGGGTGACTCTTGGTGACTCTGAGACTTTCTGGGCGTGTGCTTGTCTGTCCTTGAGATTGCATGTTGCTGACTATTGTCTGACTGTGACTGGGTGTATTCCTATGAGTGTGTGTGGCTGTGCAGAGGATGTCTATGGTGTGTGGACAAAAGAGTGAATACTTTATATGTGTGCCCATGGGTGCTGGGTGTGCTGCAGTGGGTCCCTGAGGCTGTGGTGGTCAGAACCTTTGAGGTGTGAACTTCGGCCAGGAAGAGTGGCAGGGAAAGGAGGCATGGGAAAACAGGGTGACTCCAGGATACATGGGGGAAGGGAAGCTGCAGAGACTAGAAACCCCATGTTTTCATACATCCCCCATCTGTTCCCAGCTCTCTGGTAAGGCTCAGCCCCCAGCCCTGGTCTGAGAAGCTCCTTGTTCCCATGGACAGAAAGGAATGAATTTCCCTGGCCTGGGACCTCAGAGAGATGTAGGGTGGGGCTGACGATGGAGGAGGGCAGCAGAGAACACTGCCCCGTAAAGGAGGCTGGGGGGCATTTGGGATCTCTGAGGGGGGCCCTGTGGTGGGGATCAGATCAGATGCCAGGTGAGGTGGGAGTAAGCACTACCTAGTCAGTGATGGAGGATGGGCCTTCCTAGTCAGGAAAGGCCTAGAGACGGGGGAAGACATCAGTGAGTGGCTAGGTCCCCGTGGAGGCCTCAGGAATGGTGACTTGGCACAGCTCAGGTGGGGTCTGGTGTGGGAAGGAGAGAGGCTGGTTCCTGGGCCAGCTGGGCAGAGGGGTGTGCCCAGCCCCAGGGTCCCTGTCTCCTTCCAGGAACATCACCTGGACCCAGAGACCTTAGTTCTAGCCCCAGATCTGCCTCTTCCTGCTCTGTAACTGTGAGCCCGTCCCCTCTCCTCTTGGGCCTCAGGTTGCTTATCTGTACAGTGAGAGGTTGGGCTCTGATTCAAACTCACAAAGACTGGAATTCCTTCTGCTCTCACCAAGGCAGAGTGTCAACTGTGAGTCACACAGGCCCTGCTCACAGGGGTTTCCCACTGAGGGAAGAGACAGGCAATGCCTAAAGGGGAGAAGAAAAACCAGACGAGGAGCGTGGCGGCGTGGAGAGGGGGCATGTGGGTGGGCCAGGGGATGGAGGAAGAGCTTAGGGCAGGACACAGGGAGAACAGCAAATGGCTTCTGTGAGGACGTGGATAGAGGGAAAGGGCCTACTCCGGAGCAAAGTTCAGGAGACAGGCTCCCTAGGATTCGGTGACTGGTGGGGTGAAGGGGTTGGTTGAGTGGGGAGAAGGAAGTGATGAAGTTGTTGCCCACATTTCTGTTTGGGGGTGACAGCTGACAAAGTGAATTCTTTGAGGCAAGGCATTGGAGGAAAAAAAAATAATTGGGAGGGGTTTGCTGAATCTAGACTTGTTGAGTGTGAGGTGCCCAGAGGACACTCGGGGAGATGACCAGGACACTTCAGCACATAGACATGAGATCACAAAGGCCAGGGCCCAGCCTGACTAGAGACGATCCAGGGACAACTGACAGAAGGTTTTAAGTCAGAACTGACCCCACAAAATCTGGGCCTCCGATCACTGCTTTTAACAGGAGCCACACAACACATGAGGTCACCCAGAAAGTACCAGGGCAGTAAGGAGCACTGCCATTGGAGGGGCAGGCAGCAGGAGATGACCCCAGAAAGGAACCGGGGAGGGAGCCAGCAGAGAGGGGGAGGGAAAACCCCAGAGGACAGAATCATGGAGACCTTGGGCCACTGAGGAGATCTTTCATACTGACATGGCGCTTAACAAGGCAGGAATGACCAGCAGTATTAATAACCAAAA